TTTCACTTTTCTAACTTTAGTTAGTGTGTAATTGAGCATAATGTGAGTGTAATTTGAGCATAAACAAAGTTCAAAGCAAAGGGAGATAGTTTCTTTTAAATAAATTGCTTTTCAAGGACTACAACAAACGGCTGGTAGGGACCATAGACATCCATAATAAAGGCTAGATGTCTCGTCTGCGCTGCTGGCCAATGGAGGTCGCCGTCCGCACTGGCGGCCATCTTGTCACAGGCAGCTCGCTCACTCGTAACATTGTGTTTTAATGGTGCATGTACTTTTTAAATAACCATAACTTGCTCAATTTTCAACCGATTTTCAAACGGTTTGGTTTGTTATTAACGTCAGAGATGTAGTTATGACACTGCATACTTATGAATAATAAGTGTATAAATAAATAATCATCCAGAATTATAGCCACGTTAATAACGTTTGTAAGAAACCAAACCGTTTGTAAATCCGTCAAGATTTCAGCGAGATAAGAGTATTTGTGTTCGTGCCGATCACTTATCTTACATCAGGCACCACAGAGCCCGCCAGAAAGCTTGCCTGTGACAAGATGGCCGCCGGTGATGACGATAGTGACTCCACCGTAAGACATCTAGCCTTTATTATGGATATCTATGGTAGGGACTACACAAGCTTCCTCCCGGGTTCCTTCCTCCTTCCAACCCTAAAATTTACATAAACCCCGCCCCCGGGAACGCGATTTATAGATTATCATGACAGAATATGCTAATCAATGACTAGAAGATAACTATACATCAGCTACATACATTCATCAACTAACCATTCAGAAATGTTGTCTACATGTTGTCACTTCTTCTAGAGTCTCTCCATCTTTCTGACTCCGGTTTGAACATAAAAGGCTAAACGTTTTTGAAACTTAAAAGGACACAAGCTCTTGAAGCTCCGCCCCCTGTGCCGGGAGCAGCAGCTCATTTGCATTTAAAGGGACAGACATTAAAAATCTTGTGAAAAGGGCATTATACCACCCCTTTACGTCTACAAAAAATTGTAATGGAGTAAAAAGTATTATTTTGACCTTGTAAAATGTAAAAAGTATTCAGTTTTAAGTAACAGAACTCAAGTACAGTAGAGATTCCCCAAAGTAATACACAAGTACAGTATAAGTAGGCCTACTATTACTCAAATACTTTGGTTGTGAAGGTGCTGACCGAATCCCCATAACTAATAATAATGTAGGCCTACAAAATCATAATATAGTCTAATTGATCTATTTTTCATTTCTTATCTTTCTAGAGTTCTTTGGCAAACCCTATATTTAACAGTAATGTCGACGCAGACATCTGAAGATGTGCCTGAGACGGAGGACGCTGCTCATTACTCTAAAGAAGGTTAATCCATTTAACTTCTGCATATTGATATGCCAATTACATGTAATAGAGGAGGAGGCATCAGTCAAGGTAATAGTGCAGAAAGAGTGTGTGGAACACGTGTAAGATACTCTCTCCTAATTGGGGGAGAGCGACTGGGCAAATGAGAAAGTCGAGTCAGTGAGGTGTGCGACTCAGACCAGACACATCAGTCAACAGCGCATCCCATAATGCACTTCACCTCCCATGCTGCGCCTCGCCTGAGCGTGTCCACAAATGATAAAAGCAAACGGGGAGAGGACTGAATATTTAGTCTTCAGGGTTTCCTTTTGGAAGAATGAATGAAGTGCAAATAAACCCAGGAGGGATTTTTAGAGGAGGCTTTAAACCCTCGTCCTTTCCAGTGATACTATTATAGTTCTTATTAATAGTTTGAAATAGTAGTGGCCAGAAGTGGTGTGCGCCCTAGGAAAATTGACATTTTCACCTTTTATTCAAATATTATTATAAATTTGTAAAAAAAAATGGTACACTCTAAAAAATAGTGGGTTGTTTTAACCCAATTTCAGATCAAATATGGACAAACCTAAACGTTGGGTTAAAAATGTAGCCTAATATAAAAATTTAAGCCAATGGCTGGGTTTGTCCATTTGACCCAAAGTTGGGTTGAAACTATATTTATATTGCATAGTTGTGCTTGTTTTATTTGGGATTTATTTCCAGAAATAATGAACATGCAAAAATAAGAGAGAACCAATGAAAAATTAATAACTGATTATGTTGTAGGAAATGTGTGCTAATTCCTGTCAACTTTTTGTTTTTAATGCATTTTTTACACAGTAAAATAAAACCTGTAGCTTGCCTTTTTTGCAGAATCATTTTGTCAGATAAATACCTTAACCAAGTTTAGTGTTTTGTTCTTCCATCATATTAAAAAAATATCAGAAATTTTCCTCATATTTTAATGGTTTAATGGAAATTCCCGGGTCATTGAAACAGAAACATCCTCTCCGGACATCACTTTTGGACACGACTGTAGATTTTATTGTTATAGTTTCTGTTTTTGCACTCATTTTATGTAAAGTTGTATTTTTGTCATTTTTATGATTTAATATATTTTCAATATATTTTTTGATATTTATATAATATTTCTTATTTCAATTTTAGCTTTTGTAGTACATCAAGTTAGACTAAATTAAAGTGAGGATTGTTAAAACATTATTTATACATCGTTCATGGAGCGTTTTTTCTTAAAATGTTTCAGTTGATGTTCCTCTAACGTTTTTTAAATGTAACGTTCAGAGAACATTCAAAAGTAACGTTCCATAATGTTTGAAGAATGAAACAATGGAATATTCACTTAACGTTCACATAACCTGAAAAAAACAAAACATTTTTAAAACATTTAAAAAACTGGATATTTTGAACATTCAGAAATACTGTTTTCATAACTTAATTGAACATATTTTTGTTAGCCAGGCTCATGTCAGAACTCATGCTGCTAAAGTTCAGATTTAAATGCGGATGCGGATGAACTCCCAGGGACACACACATGGTTAATGGCTCTTCTTTAGCAAATAAAAGGCATTAATGAGTCACATTACAAGACAATAAAACCTGTTCAGCAAACATTTGCAGAGATAGATTTGTGTAAGACATGGTAAATTATCTTCTAAATGATATGCCAAACATTGCATAACAGAAAACATCCTGGAGTTTCTCTCATGGATCGACTGGGAAAACAGAGCAGCTTGAATTAAAGTTCATCAGGATTCATTCAGAGTGTGAGAAGAGATTCAGAGTCAAATAAAGCGTTCAGATCATCTGAAGAGACTCTTGGTTTAATGAAGCTTCTGAAGGACAAACGTCCCTCAACGAACAGGACGCGTTTTCCCATCAGGGGGTCGTTTTACGATTCACTAATGAATAACTCACTTCAGAGCAAAGTACAAATGTTGCTTGTTTAAGAGTTAGTTTCATAGTTTACTGCACTAAACTGCTCTTGGACTGAGTTACGAGATATAGGTTGATATATGTTGTCATTGAAGAATCCCTTAAAGTTAACCTTTAAAAACACTAATAATTTAACACTTCAGCAAATCTCAAAATAAATCTCCATTTATCATACTGCACATTAATATTGAGATGCTTAAATTGACTTTGATTTTAGGTTTCAGTTTGCTTTCTTTTAAATTATTTATTTAGACAAAATAGAATAGAATTTTAATTGGCTGGTTATAGTTGTCGGCCATAAAAATGAAATTAACTATTGGATAAAATTGTAATATCAGTAAAAAACCAAACCACTTGAATTTAATGTTTATGATGAATGAAGACTAATTTCAGCATGCATATTAAGTTTTACATAGTCTACACAAACTCTATAATGAGATTTCTTTTGAATGTTCTCTGAATGTTACTTTTGAATGTTCTCTGAATGTTACTTTTGAATGTCCTCTGAATGTTACTTTTGAATGTTACTTTTGAATGTTCTCTGAATGTTACTTTTGAATGTTACTTTTGAATGTCCTCTGAATGTTACTTTTGAATGTTACTTTTGAATGTCCTCTGAATGTTACTTTTGAATGTTACTTTTGAATGTCCTCTGAATGTTACTTTTGAATGTCCTCTGAATGTTACTTTTGAATGTTACTTTTGAATGTTCTCTGAATGTTACTTTTAAATGTTACTTTTGAATGTTACTTTTGAATGTCCTCTGAATGTTACTTTTGAATGTTCTCTGAATGTTACTTTTGAATGTTACTTTTGAATGTCCTCTGAATGTTACTTTTGAATGTTACTTTTGAATGTCCTCTGAATGTTACTTTTGAATGTTACTTTTGAATGTTCTCTGAATGTTACTTTTAAATGTTACTTTTGAATGTTACTTTTGAATGTCCTCTGAATGTTACTTTTGAATGTTACTTTTGAATGTCCTCTGAATGTTACTTTTGAATGTTACTTTTGAATGTTCTCTGAACGTTACTTTTGAATGTTACTTTTGAATGTTCTCTGAACGTTACTTTTTAATTTTACTTTTGAATGTTACTTTTGAATGTCCTCTTCAGCAAATCTCAAAATAAATCTCCATTTATCATACTGCACATTTAATATTGAGATGCTTAAATTGACTTTGATTTTAGGTTTCAGTTTGCTTTCTTTTAAATTATTTATTTAGACAAAATAGAATAGAATTTTAATTGGCTGGTTATAGTTGTCGGCCATAAAAATGAAATTAATTATTGGATAAAATTGCAATATCAGTAAAAAACCAAACCACTTGAATTTAATGTTTATGATGAATGAAGACTAATTTCAGCATGCATATTAAGTTTTACATAGTCTACGCAAACTCTATAATGAGATTTCTTTTGAATGTTCTCTGAATGTTACTTTTGAATGTCCTCTGAATGTTACTTTTGAATGTCCTCTGAATGTTACTTTTGAATGTTACTTTTGAATGTTACTTTTGAATGTTACTTTTGAATGTTACTTTTGAATGTCCTCTGAATGTTACTTTTGAATGTTACTTTTGAATGTTACTTTTGAATATTACTTTTGAATGTTCTCTGAATGTTACTTTTGAGAACGTTCTCTGTTAGCTGGACTCTACATGAGAAGTTTTAGCACAAAATCCTTTGAAATCCATCAGAACAGAGGCAGACGTGAAGAAAAATGTTTATTGGCCATACAAACATTCACATATAAAATGAATTGGCTCTCTCTCGTCATGTTTAACGAGCAGCTTCACAGAGTAACAGCAGCCAATAAAAGCACGGATTCACCAGTGTTATTCTCGGCTGGATCTCAGCGCTGATCCCAGAACGCTGATGAAGCGATGAACATCAGTGAAGGAGTTATACAGCGGCACCGGAGCCACTCGCAGCACGTTAGGCTCTCGCATATCACACTGAAAAACAGCAGACACACACTTACAACACACACTTAGAATACACCGCGGGGCACACACTGACGCGGGGCTAGTTGTCACACACTTGTTTTAAATACTTCCACACATGCTAGCATGACGAATCTTAGTGTATTTACTAGATGCCATATCTACACTATATAGAGAATAAATTGCGCCAAAATTCAGAAATCTTTCGAAGATACACAGCAAAATCCCCAATGTTAAATTAACACTAAGAGTGTCAATTATATAAACTCTGAGCAGAGAGTTAAATGAACACTGAAGCAGTGTTAAAGTTAATGAGATAATTAAGTGATTAATTGAGTATTATTGATGACACCTGATGGTAACAAGCAGAATCACTGAAGGAGAAAAAAACGGAATTGTATGTCACCATTATGGTGATCAGTGTTTGATTTAGTTGGGCTCTTGACCCTTAAATCATTAACTTAAGATTTTGTTTGGCTGTTGTACCAGAGTTATAACAGCCAGATGAATAAATAGAAAAGGTGATCTGATGGTGTTGGTTATGTTTTAAAATAATCATTATTTGACCTGACTCACTGAACTCATTGAAAGCATAATTTCTGAGTTAAGTTTACCTTATGGATTATAGCAGCACTGTCCTTGTAGAGCATACAATTTTTAGCCTTTTCAATGAAATTCAAATGATCAAATCAATTACCAAAAAAAAAAGTTTTTTGTATAGGCACACACAGACATCAAGAATTAGCGTATGAATCTCAGCAATGGTGACAAATAGATCACCTCTGAACATAAGCTCATTATTTATTCATGCAGCAATGCATGATAGGAGCCATGAATGAGTTTTGATTGGTGGCACCCAGAATGCACTGCAACATGCTTTATAATTGTCACCATTGTTGAGATTCACAGGCTGATTCCTGATGTTTATGTCTAAAACAAAACAGTTTTTTGTATAAGAGAAACTTTTAAGAAATTATTTGGATTACATTGTTAACATTATGCTGTACAAGGACAGTGCTGCTATAATTAATAAAGTACACCTAACTCAGAAATTGGGCTTTATATGAGTTCAGTGATTCAGGTCAAATGATTGTGAAATAATGATTGTTAAAACACAACCAAACAAAATTTAAAGTGAAGTGACCAACTAAAGCAAACACTGATCATCATAATGGTGACCATTTTATATGAAAAAGTTAATAATTGTATTTTATTGAGAAAATATTTTAGTCTCATATATTTTTGATTAGATCAGATAACATTTTAATCTGTCATATGGTCATGTTCCAATGAACCGTACCTATGGGGCATGTTGTCACATTTCACAAGAATTTCATTCTTTCGGGGTAAATCAAGAAAAAAGTAAACACTGTAGTAATGAAACAAAACCACATAATTGTACTAGTCATGTGAAATTAATGTGGGGAAAAATAAATACTACTGTATTAGGGCTGGAATTAATCGCAATGAAACCGTACGCGATTTTGGCAAAGGAAATCTATGAGCATCACACTCTCTGTATCAGAATAAACAGAAGATTGAAACGCTTTGATTGATTAAACATGAGTAATAAACACACGACTGCCTTATTCTGTGTAAGAAGCACATCATCTCACAGAAGGACGAGCTCAACTGTCCTTATGAAGTGAGTTTGGAGCAAAAGCATGTTTTTAAATGTTGTATTTTGTTGGACAAGAGGTTCATAAATGCTTCTCATGTTTGGAAAGATGTTGCTTTTTTATATGCCCGTTATAAGCGACTCGAACTCGCAGATCTTTCAGAGTGAGCCGCGTTTACCGAGCCGTGCTTCACTGACAAGCTGCGCATAACTAATAATCACAGCCTTTGCGATTTCATAATCGAGATAAGCCAAAAGTGCGATTACATGTAAATTGCGATTAATGGTGCAGCGCTAGTGTGTGTGTGTGTGTGTGTGTGTGTGTGTGATGAAGCGATACGTACAGCGACTCCTCGTTTCTCCAGCTCTTGATACACGTCTCTGATTGGTCGAGAGAAGGAGAGTGACAGCTGACAGCCTCTCTGCTCGGGGTCAGAGGGCGTGATGATCTCAACGCAGGCTTCATTGGGGTCAGAGGTCGTGATGATGTCATCGGGGTCAGACTGGTCTCTGGTGTAGTAATGTTTGATCATAAACTCCAGATACCCCGTCAGAAGCACAGACTTTCTCCTCAGATCCTTCATAGTCGTCTTATTAAAAATCTGGACATCATATTTACAAAAGAATTAATACAAAATCCGTCATCTGCATGAGTTATGATCAGATTTAGGGAAACGGTGAACAAAGAAATCTTCAAATCTAAGTTGCAAAACATGGAAGACCATTGGTCTTTCACAGATCCGTGGCACTGAGATATTAAAATTATATCAAAAAGCAATAGATGAACAAGATGCCGTTCTTCGTGAACTTTCTGCCGGAGTGAGAGAAGATTATACGGATTTATGTGTCCTGCATCATGAACTTTTCTTCAGATTAGTAAGTTTATTGTTTTATTGCATGGTGTCTGTTTTTTGTGAGAGCTCTTAATTTCAGTCTTGCAATGGGATATTGTGAGTTTATACTTTTTTGTTGATAAATTGTCACAAAATACACATACAGAAATGTAAAAAAATAAATAAATAAAAAATCAGTAATACCAGTACGTTGCATGATGGTTGTCAGTGTGTTTTTAATGATTATTGTCAGCAGGGTTTGAAATTAACTTATTCACCCACCGGCCAATTTGGCTCCTAAATATTTAAGTTACCGGCCATTCAGAAACAGCCAAAAAATAGTGTATATATATATACAATTTGGATTTCATACATTCATTTCTTATTCTAACTAAATGTGTTTTAGGTGGACAGATCAATACAGTACAAAGAACATCAAAAAAAAATGAGGATGTTGGAAAATAATGTATTTTCTGTTCACCAAATGCTTTTAATCTTCGCTATTGCTTCAATGCAAATGAACAAGCGCTGTTATTTGTTGTGTAGTGACGTGTGTGTTCAAGTAAGCCAGATATGCGCATATTCTGCACAATACGCTGTATTTAATATATCAAGACTCACAAATTTTTTCTCTAAATCTGCAGATTTGTCTTCCGAACTTCCCCAGCAAACTGAGTAAACATAATAACTAACACGACAAACTGGCTCGTGATTTGACAGCGTTTCCCGCCACAGTTGATTGGCGGGTGTTCAATTCAAACCCTGGTTGTCAGTATGTTTCATGATGGTTGTTGTCAGTGTGTGTGTTGTTTCAGTGAGTGTGTGTTGATGTCTGACCTCTAGACTGGCCTGTAAGGGACACACCAGTAACATCGGCTGATTGGAGAGACGGAACCCATTAACTCCAGGCTGAAGCTCCATCTCTGCAGGAACATTTATCCACACTCTTCAGAAATATACAGTCAAACCAACAATTATTCAGACACCAGATATCATTTTGGATATGTTTCACTAGTGTGTGCAGGACACTATAGCTTATTTATGTAAGTGAGGAGAGCAAAATAAAGTAAACTGGGACATATTACACCCAAATATTCTTCATACAGCGACTACCAGTGAAACTTATAACCAATAATGATTCCTCCACTTTGAGCTGATCATGTTTTGCTGAAGTGTGATTTCTGTAATTGCTAATGCTCTTTTTACACACACACTGAACAACATGAAGCATTGCTTGGTCACTGGTTGAGCTAAACTGGTATTATCTAATTGTGTAGTTAAATTTAACAGCTGACAGATATTCAACATAATTCATGTGTGAGAGTCTAACAGAAGGACGGACAAAACCAGTCAAATATCCACTGATCTGAGAACTGAGTTCTGCTCATATTTATCACCATTGTCTAAACTATAGCGAATAAACTGATATAATGTGAGAAATGTTGAAGGAGTCTGAATAAACTTTGGTTTGACTGTAAATATAAAAATTAAAATATTCACACCTCAGGTATGTGGGGACTGACTTTTCTCTCAAAACGTATATAGTGTATATATTTATCAACACCTACAGCTGCTCTACAGTAACAGTGTGTAAGAGTGTGTAACAGTGTGTGTGTCCACAGGGTGTCAGCAGAGAGCAGGCTTGATTTCCCACAATCCCTCAAAACTTACAATCAACATGATCATCTTTGTGATTCAGAAGTGATTGTCATACCGTTGTTCATGAGGAATCTGGTCTTCAGGTCGTGTCCCCACCAGCCCGTCAGTCTGAGACACACACACACACACTGTTAGCGTCTCGTGCTCTTGATCTCATCTGTTAGTGTGTGTTATAGAGCCGCTGTGTAATACTCACGCGGGTCTGACGCTGTGAGCGTGTTTCTCATGTATAAATGCTCCTGCCAGACCACCGGCCCCTGAGTTCACATACTGAATAACACACACACACACACACACCACTGACTCATCATGGGAGGCTTCAAACATTCAACACAAATACAATCAATCCAAAAAAGCATTGATATTTCACACAATACAACACTGACCTTATAGGAGCACCAACACGCAAAATCCACATTCCAGTCGTGAAGTCGCAGTTCTGCGTTTCCTACAGCGTGTGCACAATCAAACCCTACCAAACACCCCTGAACACACACAAACAAACACACACACAGAGTCAAGTATAGCGCTTTTTACAATACAGATTGTTTCAAAGCAGCTTTAGAGAGATAACATGAAATTAATGCAACAAAGTTTGTTTCTAGAAGAAAATAGCGTCACAGTCCAGCTTAGTAAATTCAGTGATGGTTCTTTTTTTTTCTTTTTTTTTTATTAAATTAGACACACAAGCACACACATTCCGAAAGTAAGATGTGGACAACACTTACAGTAAAGAGAGTGAATGTGTCGTTCAGTGTAACACTTACAGTAAAGAGAGTGAATGTGTCGTTCAGTGTAACACTTACAGTAAAGAGAGTGAATGTGTCGTTCAGTGTAACACTTACAGTAAAGAGAGTGAATATGTCGTTCAGTGTAACACTTACAGTAAAGAGAGTGAATACGTCGTTCAGTGTAACACTTACAGTAAAGAGAGTGAATATGTCGTTCAGTGTAACACTTACAGTAAAGAGAGTGAATGTGTCGTTCAGTGTAACACTTACAGTAAAGAGAGTGAATGTGTCGTTCAGTGTAACACTTACAGTAAAGAGAGTGAATGTGTCGTTCAGTGTAACACTTACAGTAAAGAGAGTGAATATGTCGTTCAGTGTAACACTTACAGTAAAGAGAGTGAATATGTCGTTCAGTGTAACACTTACAGTAAAGAGAGTGAATATGTCGTTCAGTGTAACACTTACAGTAAAGAGAATGAATATGTCGTTCAGTGTAACACTTACAGTAAAGAGAGTGAATGTGTCGTTCAGTGTAACACTTACAGTAAAGAGAGTGAATATGTCGTTCAGTGTAACACTTACAGTAAAGAGAATGAATGTGTCGTTCAGTGTAACACTTACAGTAAAGAGAGTGAATGTGTCGTTCAGTGTAACACTTACAGTAAAGAGAGTGAATATGTTGTTCAGTGTAACACTTACAGTAAACAGAGTGAATGTGTCGTTCAGTGTAACACTTACAGTAAAGAGAATGAATATGTCGTTCAGTGTAACACTTACAGTAAAGAGAGTGAATGTGTCGTTCAGTGTAACACTTACAGTAAAGAGAGTGAATATGTCGTTCAGTGTAACACTTACAGTAAAGAGAGTGAATATGTCGTTCAGTGTAACACTTACAGTAAAGAGAGTGAATGTGTCGTTCAGTGTAACACTTACAGTAAAGAGAGTGAATGTGTCGTTCAGTGTAACACTTACAGTAAAGAGAGTGAATATGTCGTTCAGTGTAACACTTACAGTAAAGAGAGTGAATGTGTCGTTCAGTGTAACACTTACAGTAAAGAGAATGAATGTGTCGTTCAGTGTAACACTTACAGTAAAGAGAGTGAATATGTCGTTCAGTGTAACACTTACCGTAAAGAGAGTGAATGTGTCGTTCAGTGTAACACTTACAGTAAAGAGAGTGAATGTGTCGTTCAGTGTAACACTTACAGTAAACAGAGTGAATGTGTCGTTCAGTGTAACACTTACAGTAAACAGAGTGAATGTGTCGTTCAGTGTAACACTTACAGTAAAGAGAGTGAATGTGTCGTTCAGTGTAACACTTACAGTAAAGAGAGTGAATGTGTCGTTCAGTGTAACACTTACAGTAAAGAGAGTGAATACGTCGTTCAGTGTAACACTTACAGTAAAGAGAGTGAATGTGTCGTTCAGTGTAACACTTACAGTAAAGAGAGTGAATGTGTCGTTCAGTGTAACACTTACAGTAAACAGAGTGAATGTGTCGTTCAGTGTAACACTTACAGTAAACAGAGTGAATGTGTCGTTCAGTGTAACACTTACAGTAAAGAGAGTGAATACGTCGTTCAGTGTAACACTTACAGTAAAGAGAGTGAATGTGTCGTTCAGTGTAACACTTACAGTAAAGAGAGTGAATGTGTCGTTCAGTGTAACACTTACAGTAAAGAGAGTGAATGTGTCGTTCAGTGTAACACTTACAGTAAACAGAGTGAATGTGTCGTTCAGTGTAACACTTACAGTAAAGAGAGTGAATGTGTCGTTCAGTGTAACACTTACAGTAAAGAGAGTGAATACGTCGTTCAGTGTAACACTTACAGTAAAGAGAGTGAATGTGTCGTTCAGTGTAACACTTACAGTAAAGAGAGTGAATGTGTCGTTCAGTGTAACACTTACAGTAAACAGAGTGAATGTGTCGTTCAGTGTAACACTTACAGTAAACAGAGTGAATGTGTCGTTCAGTGTAACACTTACAGTAAAGAGAGTGAATATGTCGTTCAGTGTAACACTTACAGTAAACAGAGTGAATGTGTCGTTCAGTGTAACACTTACAGTAAAGAGAGTGAATATGTTGTTCAGTGTAACACTTACAGTAAAGAGAGTGAATGTGTCGTTCAGTGTAACACTTACAGTAAAGAGAGTGAATATGACGTTCAGTGTAACACTTACAGTAAAGAGAGTGAATATGTCGTTCAGTGTAACACTTACAGTAAAGAGAGTGAATATGTCGTTCAGTGTAACACTTACAGTAAAGAGAGTGAATGTGTCGTTCAGTGTAACACTTACAGTAAAGAGAGTGAATATGTCGTTCAGTGTAACACTTACAGTAAAGAGAGTGAATATGTCGTTCAGTGTAACACTTACAGTAAAGAGAGTGAATACGTCGTTCAGTGTAACACTTACAGTAAAGAGAGTGAATGTGTCGTTCAGTGTAACACTTACAGTAAAGAGAGTGAATGTGTCGTTCAGTGTAACACTTACAGTAAAGAGAGTGAATATGTCGTTCAGTGTAACACTTACAGTAAAGAGAGTGAATATGTCGTTCAGTCTAACACTTACAGTAAACAGAGTGAATGTGTCGTTCAGTGTAACACTTACAGTAAAGAGAGTGAATATGTCGTTCAGTGTAACACTTACAGTAAAGAGAGTGAATGTGTCGTTCAGTGTAACACTTACAGTAAACAGAGTGAATGTGTCGTTCAGTGTAACACTTACAGTAAAGAGAGTGAATATGACGTTCAGTGTAACACTTACAGTAAAGAGAGTGAATGTGTCGTTCAGTGTAACACTTACAGTAAAGAGAGTGAATATGACGTTCAGTGTAACACTTACAGTAAAGAGAGTGAATATGTCGTTCAGTGTAACACTTACAGTAAACAGAGTGAATATGTCGTTCAGTGTAACACTTACAGTAAACAGAGTGAATGTGTCGTTCAGTGTAACACTTACAGTAAACAGAGTGAATGTGTCGTTCAGTGTAACACTTACAGTAAAGAGAGTGAATATGTCGTTCAGTGTAACACTTACAGTAAAGAGAGTGAATGTGTCGTTCAGTGTAACACTTACAGTAAAGAGAGTTACTGTTTGTTTCAGTGTAACACTTACAGTAAACAGAGTGAATGTGTCGTTCAGTGTAACACTTACAGTAAAGAGAGTGAATATGTCGTTCAGTGTAACACTTACAGTAAAGAGAGTGAATGTGTCGTTCAGTGTAACACTTACAGTAAAGAGAGTGAATGTGTCGTTCAGTGTAACACTTACAGTAAAGAGAGTTACTGTTTGTTTCAGTGTAACACTTACAGTAAAGAGAGTTACTGTTTGTTTCAGTGTAACACTTACAGTAAAGAGAGTGAATATGTCGTTCAGTGTAACACTTACAGTAAAGAGAGTTACTGTTTGTTTCAGTGTAACACTTACAGTAAAGAGAGTGAATATGTCGTTCAGTGTAACACAGAGTATGAGCCTTACCTGTGCGTGTCCAGCGCTGGTGATGGTCTCGATCTGGAACAGCTGACCGGTGTAATACTGGACTCCGCTGAGCATCACCAGAGCGATGGACTCACCCTCCGACTCGATGAGCGACACGATGTCCTCCGTCCTGATGGTGTCCTCACCCTGAAACAGCCAATCACAGCCAATCAAAGCCAGTCACAGCCCGTCACAGCCAATCACAGCCAGTCACAGCCAATCACAGCCAGTCACAGCCAATCACAGCCAATCACAGCTAGTCACAGCCAGTCACAGCCAATCACAGACAGTCACAGACCGTCACAGCCAATCACAGCCAGTCACAGCCAGTCACAGCCCGTCACAGCCAATCAACATGTCACAGATCCCCGTGAGGTCACTATATCCAGGCCTTAAAAGATGCAAGAAATAAAAAAGAATTTTTTTATCCTTTTCTTTTTGGAATTTCTTTTTTATTCTTTTATCGGTTTCCTTCTATGCTATTATGAATGTAATAGATAATAGTTGAATACATTGCGAAAATTTTTTTAAATCTGTAAATGGAGAAAAAGAAAAAAACAAACCTGTCTGGGTTTGATGATCAGCATGCTGTCCGCCACATTCATTCCTCTCAGCTGGATCTGCGACTCGATGGCGTACTGCAAGATTCACACACACACACACACACACACACGGTGCTGTTATAAAGTTATTGATGCCTTTTCACACTTGATGCTTCGATCTCTTGATCTGAACGTGAGTTTGTCGTTTCTGAGGTTAAAGAAACATACATGATCCGACGGAAAGGCCTTGTCCTCTAGAAGAATTTTATGGCGTTTTGGAGTCGGTTTGTAGAAGGAAAGCTGAGAGAATCATAAAAAGAGGAGAATACTGTTAAAAAAATCAACACAGAGACAAAAATATTAGCAAATGTTGTTGTTTTTCTACCATGACAAGATGCAGATTGACTGTCAGTCCGTTCATCAGAGCCACTTCCTCAGGTTTAGCACCTGTTTAAAGATAGTTTCACTAAATCAGAAGCTCCAGTGATGCACTTTTTACCCTGTTTACCTTGACAGAACTTCCCACATTATATCTGGAGACAGACTTATGGCATTTGAATCAGAAACCTGGATATGAAAATCAAAAATAACAAACTGAAGTAACTGAGAAACTCTTCTATTACCCACAATCTTGGCCATCGAACCCTCGAGGGTCTCTTCGGCCCAGGCCCAAGGTCGCGACCCCTGCGTGTGGCCATGGACGCCTCTGGAAACAACATGCGTTTAGGATTTATGGGATTTCCTTCAAACCGTGGAAGAACATTTCTGTGATTTGTTTGAATTAATTTTCTACAGTTTTACTGCAATAGCGATATCTGTTACTGTGAAAAAAAGATTAATGGAAAAAGAAAACTTCTTTAAGAACCTGTAAACCTGTTACCTGTATGTGAAACATATTATTTTTGAAAAATAAATGGCCTTATAACCCATTTTGGAAATGGTTAATAAAACAATGGATATGCTTTTCTGGTAAAAAATAAAAATAATAAAAATAATTATAATAAATATAAAATAAAATAAGTAAATAATGAATAATAAAAATGTAAATAACAATATTTAAATAATAATACATATCTAAATAATATTTTTTAATATTTAAATTAAATATTATATTAAATGTTGAAATTACCATATGATTTATTGTAAAAATGAATAATAAGACAATAAATATAGAAATCATGTCTTTAAAAATAGTCACCGAAATGGCATTCTAAAGCCTGAAACATTTTCACTGTGTGTTATTATCAGATAAATCATAAATCGACTCACATTTTGGCCCATTTCTCCAGCTCCTCATCAATATATTTTTTGGTGTTTTTCGGCTGTAGACCAAGTGAATTCCCAGCTAAATAAACACAATCCTCAGAACCGTCCACAAGCGACAGATCGGCTGAAAACAGACGAGAAATCAGATGATATATGAATCTGAGCAAATACAAAAAAAAAAAAAAAAATGTTTTATTGAGAAATAGACAAATTTACACAAAATTAACAGTTTACAATACTCAAAAAGGCAGACGTAGTTGCAAATTACAATAAGTAACAGCAATGAAGTCTCAAATCAAATACACAATCATGAAGGTAAGGAAGAGAAAATGAATTGTAAATGAATTATATATATCAAGTATGTTATTGCAAGGGGTAGCAAGAGCTCTGCATGGCTACTGTGGTAGCTTTTTCATTTGAAAGGGCACAAAGAGAATAGCAAAAGCTTGAGTTCATTAATAAAATGAGGAAAGGATGGAGGGGTTTTCAAAAATCTGCATTTAGCATGAATGAAGTATTTAGCAAGTTCAAAAAGGTTATTGACCAAGTAGTGTTGTGAACAATCTTTCTTCGGTACACCAAACTTAATTTGTTTGCATTCAAGGGGATTCTGTGAATCTGAGCTAATCCTCCGTCATGTAAATCTGCGCGTCATAACTCATGTGACTGCTCATAAACCCATGAGAAGTGTTTGACTCACCGTTGGGCAGGTCTGATGTCCTGGGCATGAGGAACTCGAGCCTCAGGTGTCGCAGCGGGTCGAGCCGGTCCAGGTGTTCTGCCAGCCGGCGGGAGGTGGGTGTACAGCTCAGCTCCTGAGAGAGCCTGAGGATCGTGTGCTTCGGGCTCTCCATGATCACATCAGTCGGATCCACCGCAGATCTCCTCACACACTCTTATACACGACCAGCCAGTCCAAGCTGCACAGACGCAGAGACTTTGACCCGTGAGGACACACATCAGGCCTGAGCTAATCATTTATAGAGGTCACATCCATAGGCGTCATTTGGGGGGGTTCCACTTTTGAAACATCTCGCGGTACGGATGTACCAATACAAGTAAAACATCTCCAGTAGCAGAGCATTCATTTCGTTCGTTTGTTAAATAAGAGGCGATCTAGCGCTAACATGTGTGTTCTTTTTTTAATCAAGTGATCATGTGCGTTGCAGATGATAGACAGTAAAAGAAATGGACACAGCGACCCCATTGATTTCAACGGAGAAAATTGAAGCCCGTTAAAAGCTGATCGCCAGGCGTACTGCGCAAGCACGCAGTGCCGAGTGAAATCTGAATAATCTGAATCTCACAGAGACGGAGAGAGTGAGTATTAGCTGTCCATGAGCAGCAGCAGGATCAACTTTATGACTCTATGACTTTATCTCCCTATCTATCCTAGGCTGATCTGTGTGTTTGTTCACGTGAAAATTCATGAAACTAACAACATATCAGATCTCATTGTACGACCAATTAAACCCAAAGTAGCCTACTATTTAACCCCCCCCCCCATCACATTTTTGGTCGGACATCATCACATCTTTGTATACATTTGTATTTATTTACATCAGTAGGCCTAAGCTAAGGACATCGTCTTTCAAAACATGACCTGCGCGAAAGAGAAAAAAAATGAATGGGTCATTGTACCCAGCACTTTTGAAAATGCACATCCGAAGGCGTCTCTGTCCCCAGCACATGTCAAACCAAACTGGTCACATCATGTCCCGCGCTCGTCTTGATGGCTCTCATAACACACACACACACACTTCCTGACGCTTTAGTTCATGGTTCTTCCTCTGCACATGGAGCCACTTCTGCTTTCAGAGAACACAGAGCTGAAGACACACCCTCACTGAACCTCACACTGCCTTGTGTTTCTGTCTGATTACAAACACTACAATCTCCATGGTTCATCTAGCTAGCTTTAAGGTTCCCCTGTAGTCAATCATTTTATCCCTTAAAGGTGACATATTATGCCCTTTTTCACATATGAATCTATGGAAGAATGTGTGTGTGAAATTTCAGCTCAAAATACCAGATCATTTATTATAGTTTGTTAAATTTGTCCCTTTTTGGATGTGAGCAGAAACGCGCCGTTTTTGTGTGTGTCCCTTTAAATGCAAATGAGTTTTAGTATTTTCAAGTGAGATTGAGTGAGATTGGTGAGATTGGCCTGTGTTGTTATTGCCGGAGTCTCTGAAGCTCCGCCCTCTTCTGAACGGAGGCGGAGCTTCAGAGACTCCGGCAATAACAACACAGGCCGATCTCACTGATCCAGAGTCAGGAGTAACAGCAGCGAGTGCAGCCTTACGGAGAGACTCAGGGAGAGCTTCACTTTTACACGTTTCTGAATGTTAGCGGAGACATTTCTGTAGTTGTTGTGGAGTTACACTGATCATCTCCTCATCATGTTGAACTCTTCCACAAGTGTCCACAGTTCCTGAGGTGTTTATAAGACAGCGCTGACATGTTCTGGTCAATAGTGTTCAGTGTCGTCTGTGCTCGACCACAGAACAGTTTCAGGCTTTGCTGGATCTTCTCCAGTGCGTTAGAACTGGTCTCTGTTGGCGCTCGCCGAACCCAATGTCGCTGGTGTGTGTAAACGTGCAGATTATTTTATAACATGCTCTCAGAGAAAGACTTACCAAAACAAAGTTACTGGGATTTAACTTTTCATGTTTTCTGGGTTGGTAGAAGCACCGAGGACCCGATTATAGCACTTACACACGGGAAAAGTCCGATTTCCATAATATGTCCCCTTTAAAACTCATCTTTGATCACCAAAAGGACATATTTAAATGTTTTTTTTCCTGTCATATTTAAATATTCTTCATGTCCATTAAATATCTTGAATGTAACTCGACACCCTTCGCGGTTCTATGAATATGCAAATGAGCCCCGCCTCCACTCCCTCACTCACTCAGAGATCCACTGGTTGACGATCACACGTTGATCTGATTGGTTACAAGGTCGTTTGTGACGTCAGAAACACCAGCGATTTCAAACCGTGTTTTTGAGACTGTCTTTGGTTCACTGCAGTTTTAAGGAGGAAATACTCAGCAATGCGGTCGACTTATGAACTTACACATGGTTTAAGCGTATTAAAAACACCACATAGACACATAAACAACATTAAAAGCTGGATTTTCACCACAGGGGTACTTTATTTCTGAACGTTCAAAATATCCATTTTGGGAATGAATGGGTTAAAGTGCATAAGCTATTGT